ATTCTTCCTGGATTTGGTCTCTTGGCCTCCTCTTTTCTTTCCGTTCTTCGTTCCCTTTTTCCTTCGTTCTTCTCACTTCTCTCGTTCTTTCCTCTTCTCTCTTTCTATCGCTCTTTCTCTCTTCCATCTTTCTATCGTGTTATTTTCTCTAATACTTCCCCCATCCCTTCATATTCTATTTTCCTTTTTATTTCCTATCCCAATAATAATAATAACTAATAAAAATAATATAATAATAATAATAATAATAACTAATAAAAATAACATAATAATAATAATAATAATAATAATAATAATAATAATAATAATAATAATATTATTATTATTATTATTATTATTATTATTATTATTATTATTATTATTATCACACCAATTTCCCACGATCTATGGTAATCCCTTTTCTCTCTATTCCAACTTTTCTAATATCTCCTTGCTACCCCTTCATATTTCCTTCCTCACGGTTTCTATCATGACTTTTCATATTTCCATTCTAACTTCCCAATAACCCTTCCACTTCTTATTTTACTTATTCCAACCACTAATATTCCCAATAATAATTCTAATATAATAATTATAATAATCATTATAATAATAATAATAATAATAATAATAATAATAATAATATAATATAATACTATTATAATATTATAGTAATATTCAACATAATAATAATAATAGTAATACACCCAACAATAATTATAATTATAATAATAATAATATTAATAATAATAATAACAACTATATTAATACTAATAATAAAATAATATGAATAATAATAATCTTAATATTAATAATACTAATATAATATTACTAATATTAATAATACTAATCATAATAATACTATTAATAATAATAATAAATATTATTATTATTATTATCTCACCAAAATAATAATAATAATAATAATAATAGTAATAATATTATTATCTCACCAAAATAATAATAATATTAATAATACTAATAAATATAATAATATATAATAATAATACCCCCACCAATATTACTATTATTCATTATATTATCATATTCACACCAAAAATCATAATAATATAATAACTATATTAATAATAATATTATATTTTCCATATTAATAATATTACTACAAATATTAATAATAATCATAAATATAATAATAATAATAATAATAATAATAATAATAATAATAATAATAATAATAATAATAATAATAATAATATTAATACCACCACCAATATTACTATTATTTCTTATATTATTATAAACTCACCAAATTACCACCAATGATCTCCCATCTCAGGGACACCCACCAAACATCATCAAATACACCCTACCAAAGGGCACATCAACATATAATATTTAAAATAATAATAAAATGACTAAATAATTAAAATGGGTGTTACAACTTGTCTCTCTCCATCTCTCCGCATGTGCCACGTTTCGTCCCTCTCTCTCCCTCTGCATGTGCGCTGACACGTAGCGCCTCCTTCTTCCCTTCACCGGAGACCTCCCCACCGGCATGCAAACACCGGAGAACTCACCGGCAAAATCCAGCGGTGGTTCTCGCGGCCAAATTCTCCCAAATACTCGCCGGTAACTGTCAAAGATCATCCTAACCGTCGCCGGAAGTTGTTAACCCCACCCTAACCATCGCTGGAAACCTCAACGGCTCACCGGAAACTGCATCCATTCATCAACTTCCGGCGATCTTCATCAAGCTTCATGCGATTTCCAGATCTTCATTAAACCTTCAACGAAGCTCCATCAACATTTTCATCCGTGTTCTGCAACCTTCATCAATCTCCAAGAATTTTCGCCCAGAATCTTCAACACATCCATCGCAAATCTCCAGAAATTCAAAGAACTCCGGATCTTCACCAGACCTTCACCCAACTCATCGAGCCTCGTACGATTTTCCAGAAATGTTATGCTCATCCAAACTCAGATCCGTTACATATCTTCATCAGCATTCATCCACGTTCTTCAGTTCTTCATCAAGATTATCACCAGTTCACCGATCCTCTTCAGATCCCCCATATTCATCAAGAACATTCAACATCATAAGATCTCCAACGATATTCACGAAGACATTCACATAGCTTCATTCAGTTTTCATCCTTACTCATCAGATCTCCAAAAAAATCCTCAAGTTGCTTCAGAAAATCAACGAATACCTTCAACGCCTTCAAGAGATCCTTCAAGCAAAAATCATCCAATCTTCATCTGTTGATCTTCGCATGCAATATTCTTCAAGAAGTTCTTCCAGAAATTTGTCCAGATCTTCATCACCGATGTGAGTCTTCAAGAACATACGAGATCTTTGCTGTTTGTTTTGGTGGGTTGGGCCCTAATTTTGTTTTTGCTGTAACAACACCCACAATTACTAATGCACCTCCTGCAATTTTTTTATTATTTTTCTTATATTCTTTTTAATGCATTTAATGGTATTTTTTTTAGATAATATTTTCATTTAGAAAATTGGTTTAATTTTCTTTTAAGAGATTTAGGATTTAGTTTAATTTCTTTTAAAGGATAGAATTAAATTTAGTTTTAATTTCCTTTTAGGATATTACTTTTAATTCATATTTTAGTATGCAATTTCCTTTTAATTTCTTCAGTACACTCTCCAGTAGCATTTAATTGTCGTATTTTAGGAGTAACATTTTATTTCCATATTGTGTTGGATTTCTCTCTTATTTTCTTTTCTATCTGATTTTATCCCGATTTTATTTTTGGTTGGCCGTGTGACACGATTCAATTGGAGAATGATTTTCGATATCATTTCTCTATCTTGTCTTTGACACGGATATCAATACGCTACCTCTTAGAGTTCGATTTCTCGTATAAGTCGAACCATGACGGTCTAAGCGTTACATTGGTTCTGATTCGAGCATCCTCATCAAGGATCCAGAGAGGAGAATATTGGAATGGAGCTTGCGCGCATGTCAGGAGCCAACGGAGCTGCTTTGTTCATCATCATCATCTTATTCAAGTCTTCAGGCAACCGTCAAGTCTTGTGAGCCGCATCGTTAGATACGAAGGAAATGATAGTTAAGAAGTTACTTCTCAATCGTCTAGGATGTCTAGTATGGTACCCTTAGGATACCATGCGACGCATTCGCTCCTACGTCTTAGGTTCTTGCGTGTGTGTCCCGAGTTCCTTCCCGTTTAGGCGTAAGCCTGCTTCCTCTTTGTTCTCGCCCCGTGCGAGCGAAACCCCTTTTCTCTTGCGTTCAGGCGATCGAGACCTCTTCTCTTTCCCCCGTGCAATCGAGACTCGTTTTCCCGTCGAACTACGTTAGCTCTGATCTCTCGTGCCAGACGAGAGTACGTAGGCATAGGATGCGATATCCTAGCGAGCTCCCATTTTCCCGTTTCCCCGTTTTAGCTGTAGTAGGCTGAACTACAGCTGCTCTGATTTCTCATACCGAATGAGAATATGTAGGCATAGGATGCGATATCCTAGCGAGCACACTAACAACTAACTTTTCTGTTCTCTCGCTGCCGTGCGATCGAGACTTTCCCGCTGACGACTGATGTTTCCCTTTCTCTTGCCCTTGTGCATTTGAGACCAGACCGTAGTTCTAAGTTCCCGTAGGTTCCCGTACCTTTCAAGCCAACTTGATCTCTCACCCCTGTGTGATCGAGAACACCCTGTCTAGTCGTAGTTAGCCTGAACTACGTAAACTCTGATCTTTCACGCTGTGTGGAAGTACATAGGCACAAGACGCAAAGTCTTGGCGAGCCCAATCCTCTGTAGTTTCCCGAACTACGATGACTCTGACTTTCTCTCTTGAGAATACGTAGGCATAGAGTGTGATGCTCTATCGAGTCAGTTTCCTTCCGTTTAGCTTTAGCAGCCGTAGATAGATTGTTTTGCATCCTTTAGACAAACCAACAAGCGTGGATCCCGTCGAGTACGACGGATGTGAGGGGTGCTAATACCTTCCCCTTGCGTAACCGACTCCCGAATCCAGGATTTGGTTGCGATGACCATTCCTTTCCCGTCTTTGCGGTAGGTTTACTTCGAGCGTTTCCTTTCCCTCCTTTGGGATAAATAACGCACGGTGGCGACTCTTCTGTTTAGCCGGCGCCGATTTTCGCAGTAGCGACAAGGCCTTAAAAACATTTTTAGGCGGGTTTAACAAAATAAGAGAGACTTCTAAAAGACTATAAGTGTGTGTGTGTGTGTGTGTGTGTGTGTGTGTGTGTGTGTGTGTGTGTGTGTGTGTGTGTGTGCGAATTTACCTTGGTAATTCCAAAACTACCCTTTATGCCTTTTTAAGACATTGCTCACACAGACAGACACGACCATGTGAGCTTTTACACTCCACCTCTTTCACAACTCCAAAGTTTCAATTCTTAGTTTCAAGAACTTTGAGTCTTCTAGCTTGATGAGGCTTGAGATGTCTTCAAGTTGATTACCATCATCAGAGAGCTAAGAGGTCAAACCACCAATGAACCTTGAAATAAAAGTCTTCACTTGAATTTCATTTAACCATAATGTTGACTTGAAAGAGATGCCTTGATCTTCAAGAGCACCTTCTAAAGGATAGCTTGATAAAACAAATTGAGCATGTTTGACCATTTAATATATATTCAAGAGATAAGGACTTCATTATATAGTTTTTGATCACGTGTTATCATCATCAAAACCAAACAGTTGATTGCAACTTTGCTTTCAACAAACTTGACCACTTTGGATTACCTTGATAGTATCTACAAACACATAGATCTACACCCTTACCCAGCAAATGTAAGTCCACCAACCCCATCGCCTCAATGAAAGCCCTAAATTCACAAAACTCATCCAAACCTGACACCCGAATCCCCTGACCCACCCTTTTCCTTTTCGTGGGCCTAAGAACTGCATTAAAGTCACCCAAGACACACCACGTAACACCCTGAAATTGCTTCCACACAAGCATAAATAATCACCATGAAACACAGGGGATTACACATTACCCATTCGAGGCAAACACCTAGATAACTCGAACTAGAAAAAGAGAAGATAACCTTATCTTTCACATTTCACCAAATAGAAAACAAGCCCCCACTAACACCCTTATATGGACAAAAGATCCAGTTGCAGAAAGAACTCCCCAATAGAATATGATGCAATGACTCCTTACCTGACTTAACTGAACCTCTTGAATAACTATGAAATCAAGATAGAAATCCCTAACCAGCTCCCTCACCTTTCTGTTCTTAATATTACCCCATAAACCCCTAACATTAAAGGAGAGAATAATCATTGAAACCCAATCGACTCCCTAAGAGACTTAGCATGAGCATGTCTTGACTCCATCCAGACGAATATCTGAATCTCCAAACCATTAGATATCTTAAAATAAAATCCAACCTCTTTAGATCTAACTATGGCCCGAGAAGCATCCAAGTAGTCTTAAATCGATCTTAAAATATCACCAAAACTCATAACGGGAAAACTCTATGAAATCACTAGATGAACATGAGAAAAATTACTAACTAAGTGTGTCCCACTACTACCGAAACAACCAATCCTGCAGCTAGGTAATCAATAGACACCTTGTCATTAGGCATAAAACTTTTAGAAGATAACTGAATATACTTACCTGAACCCGACATCTGAAAAGAAGGAATCATCGTCACCCATCTTTCTGCAGCAAGCAATTGAGAAACATCACTAGCCAAATCCTCAAAGTAAAACTTCATCAAAGAAAAATTCAACTGAAGATGCTTCTATTCCAAAAAAAAATGCTAAAATATAATGGAGCTTTGAAAACAAATATCAAATTCGAAGAGGAAAAATTCTCCACCAAACATATTTTATTATTAAAAAATTTATTAGTTTATTTAGATAAATATTTATCACATCACCTTTTTATAATGAAGTAATATCACACACTTATTAACCTTTTCTAAAAGCTTATAGCACATCATCCTTATCATAATTAATAGATGAAACTTAAACCCTACAATAGGGTTTTTCTTTCAAGCAAACTTAAACCCTAATATTTTAGAATATATCAAGATAAATCTTGTGAGTTCCAACAACTTCTATCCCTAAGAACAAAATGTCAATCTCCATTTTAATTCAAAAGTGGCTAGTCAAACTCCAACGTCACTAGCTAATTCCATGTACAGTCGAAAATTCAAGTGCCAAATTAGCCACACAAAATAAATCATGTATCTTGTTTTCATTGGCTCTTAATAAATTGATTTTTGGACAAGAATAATTTTCTCTACCTTTATCTTTCTTTCTATTGGTAGCACTCATCATATGTGATTGAAAGTATATATTTTTTGTTTGATATTAAATATACTTTTTAACAATTTTTAATGTCAAATTAACGGTGTTAATTTTTCAACGACCAGTATTGCTTTATGCTATCTTTCGTCAATTTTTTTATTGGTCACCAAAGAATAAAGCACTATCTACAAGAACAATGAAGAAACATCAAAATTGATACTAGTACTTCTTTTATTAAAAAATAACTAAATTTGATACTTCTTCCATTATATATATTCTTGACACACTAAAAAGTTATTAGTGTCACTATACAAAAATAAATTTATTTATGCATAAAAAATAAATTAGTAATAAAAATATACAAAAATTATACAATTATAAATATATATATATATATATATATATATAAATATATATATATATATATATATATATATATATATATATATATATATATATATATATATATATATATATATATATATATATATATATATATATATATATATATATATATATATATATATATATATATATATATATATATATATATATATATATATATATATATATATATATATATATATATATATATATATATATATATATATATATATATATATATATATATATATATATATATATATATATATATATATATATATATATATATATATATATATATATATATAAGTCTTTGTAAATAGGAATAAATGAAGTCTTAATCAATGTATATTTAGAATAGAATATATCTATTTTATCCTCTCAAAATAAGGATATACTGGAAAGAAAGAAAGGCTCCAATGGATATGTATTGGATGGAGAATATATGTATCTTTTATATGTGTATATCTTCACAACTAATTTATTGGCGGTCCAAAATGACAATCTCCAATTTAATTCCTAATACTATTATACTCCTTTTCCTAGTTTATCTCTATTCTCATTAACATGAAGTAGGAGAAATGATGTAATTTCAAGAACAAAATTTATAGTTTACTTCATTCAAATAGCACAAAGGATGTGCTTTATACCGGCAAAAGCAAAAGCAAAAGCCAACACAGAAGGAGTCCCCACATATACACATGTTTACTACATGCTATGCTATACTATTTAATGAGGGCCGTGTGATGAAAATTACATTATGATATGTCTATACATGCAATCCAAGACAATTGTCATCTAAAGATTTTCATCATAGAAACTCTAATTCCCTTTCTATAAATGCTAATTTATTATTAAAATTCAAGTATACGTTTTTTAAACTATGAAACCTTATACTCTCTATTGGAGCAATCACAAACTCAAATGATAAATTAATGAAAAAATTAGGTTAGTTGGAGAAGATGAATAGTTGGAGAAGATGAAGTGAGGAAATAATAGAGAGAGTAATTGAGAGTGATAATTAAAATTGACATTAATCCTAAATAAAAGTTGTCGTAATTCGAAAATTGACCTCCCATTTTGTCTTTGCATAAACATGTGCATTCGCATCGCTGACATACGCATTCACATGTCTCTCGGTAATCTTTGTTGCAAGAATTTTTAGATTCTTTGAGTCCGATTAATCACCTCTTCTCAAAGATATCATCATCAAAATAAGCACAAAATAAAAATTTCTATACATATTCATCAGAGCAAGAGGTCGAAAATCAGAGCCATGACCACAACATCATTTTCAGGCAAAATTGAGCAAGTTTTAACTTGGTTAATCGATTAACCATTTGCTAGTGCAAATGGGTTAATCGATTAACCCTTGCAAAATTTGCAGAATCTACTGCATTTTTAGGACAACAACTTCCACTTCTCATTTTTGCGATCTACATTGTTTTAGCATTGTGTGGAACATTCTAAACAGCTGTAGACACTTCAAGGCATTTGCTCCAATACATTAATTGGGATTGAGACCACCATATTGCTTCATTTCCAAGCTTGTGAGCCCTTAGATTCAAGTTTGCATTGGAATGGTTACCGAGTCAACTACCTAACTAACTGAGTTAACCTCCAACTCAGTGAGTTGAGACTAACTAACTCCAAGGCTAGTTTCAAGACTACATCCAAAGCTCACTCCGAACCTAGTAACTCCGAAGCAAAACTCTATATAAGAAAATCATCACCATTTCATAAAGGGGCCAATCATTCTCCCAAACTTTCACACTTGATCACTCTCAATTCTCTCATATTTTCTTTTAATTTTTTGCAACTTCTACTCATAATCTTCTTCACTTTCATCCAAAACCTCACTAGAGCTCAAAAGCTCCATTAAAGAGTAGTAACTTCTTCATTGAAAGTGCTTTCTCTTGAGCTTATCCATCATCATCTTGCCAATTTTTGTTGCTTTTCTGAAGTTACATCGCATTCAGATTCATCTCAAGTGATTACTTCAAGCTTATTTGGTGTAATTTCAATTTTGGAGTTTTCGTCGGATTTTGCTCTGTTTCGCTACGGTTCGGTTGCAAATTCTATTTTCTCTAGATTTCTTTGAGTAACATCATCACATTCTCTTTGCAACAACATCCAAGGCAAATCTCAGTCTTGTAGGTTGGTTAATTCTCACTCTTTTCACTATTTTGATCGTTACCGTATCGTTAGCGATGTAGTTTATACATTTTTCTCGTTTGTGAATTGATTATGCTTTGATTTGATCTTCAATCTTGATCTATTAATTGATCACATAAGTGCTTATTTTCTATTTTTGGACTTAATTTTCGTGCATGATTGTTTGCCCTAACATGTGAGGGATTGCACAAATTAAAATTGGACAAAAGTGTTTTTGAAACCTCATTTTTCAGGCTCTGTTTTAGTGTTAATCTATTAACACTTTTACACAGGCAAAGTGTTAATCGGTTAACCATGCATTTTTCAGCAAAATTTGTCAGTTTTAAAAGGGTTAATCGATTAACACTTTTGCACAGGCAAAATGTTAATCGATTACACTAGTTCAGAAGACCATTTTTATGCATTTTTTATGTATGTTTGGTTTTCTTTCCTCTTTCAACTCCCATGGATTGATATGTTTGATTTTATGGATGTTTTAACTTCTGTTTGAAGCATGCTTGTGCATTTTCTAATGCCCAATTTTATCGATTTTGCATTTATTTGCATTTTTTTGGCATTGTATGAACATGTTCATTTTTGTCTAATCTTTTATCACATGATTACTTGATTTGTGATGCATGCTAATTGACTTTGGTATTGTTTTACACTTCCATCCTTGCTTGTATTGAGATTTGTTCCTCTTTGGAATGAACTTAATCTTGTATATTTAATAAATTCCCTTTTTGCTTTAATGATTTTCTATTCCCTTGGAAAATTGTTAGCACATCTTTGCCCTTTGATTAATTAATCGAAACTTTGTTTCGATTAGTCGATCTTCCCTTTTTCTCCTCCTTTGGATCTTCTCGAGCTTTGTCCTCTCTTTTCCCCCGCGGAGTTGAAGATTTGCAACGCATTGGAGCACTGTATAAATTTTGCACCGTTGTGCTGTGTGTTTCGTTTCTTGCACCGCGCTTTGGTGTTAGAGAAGGAATGAGAGTGGAGAATTCCTACACTCATTCTGACTATTTTGGGTAGGGGACGAATGACCCTGTGCCTGAAATAGCCGCCTCTATCTCCTTACTGTGGTTTCCCTGTTCCTCTAGTCGAGTAGATCCTTGATCACTTGCACCCTTACCTCCTCTTTGGAAGTAGCCTTATCCTTGTATTTCCCTTTTCTCTTGTGGCCAATCCTTCTTTAGTTCCCTTTGAGATTTGTTATTCAAAATCCTTACTTGGTTGATTAACCGTCCTTCGGTTAAAACCTATTTCTCTTCTTCCCCAACGAAGTTGACTTTTTATTTTCGGTTTAACACAGTCTTTCTGTTGAAACCTAATAGAGTTTGCAACCTTCTCTTGGTTCTCTTTCCTTCCTCTTTGGTTAATCATTGTCTGTCAGTTAAACACCATTTGCCTTTCCTCAATTAATCACAGTCTGCCTGTTAACACTGAGTTTTCTTTAGGTTAATCACCGCCCCAGGTTAATCA